GTTTTCGAGGAACTAAAAAAAAAAAAATGCATGGACAGGGAAATCTTACTGAGGTAAGTATGATTCCTGTTATTTCCTAATTAAATCCAAACAGCCCATCTTTATTCCCATTTGGTAGCTGAGAAAACTGAGGATTACAGGTCAAAGTTAAATTAGCTCTTGACTGGGACCAGCATGGTAGCCCAGTGGCTAAAGTCCTTGCCTTGAATCCACCACGATCCCATATTCATGTCCCAGATACTCCATTTCCCTTCCAGCTCCCTGGTTTGTGACCCGGGAAAGCAGTAAGGGCGGCCCAGGGTCTTGGGACCCTACACTAGTGTGGGAGACCTAGAAGAGGCTCTTGGCTCCTGGCTTCGGATCAGCTCAGCTCCGGTAGTTGCAGCCATTTGGGAAGTGAACCAGCAGGTGGAAATATTCCTCTCTATCTCTTCTTCTCTTTGTAAATCTTTCTAACAGACAAATAAGCAAATAAATAAATTAGCTCCTGACTACATAACCTAATACTAACGCCCACACACAACAATTTCTGTTTTTCTGCCACCTGTCCTAACTCCAGAACAAAATTATTTTCTGCAGAGCTCCATGACAGACATGTGCAGATCGTCCTCATATAAACAAACATATTCTGTACAAGATTACACCACTCCACCTTGCCAGAGATTTCTGACTTGCTGCTAAGGACTGAAGAGTAACAGGATTTTCACTAGCTATTTCTTTAAACAAAGCACAAGAGTTGCTTTGCTGGTTTTGGTATGCTTTAGGAAAGTAAATCCATATGTATCTTAAATTCTCCAGCATAAATCTGTGTCACTACATAGTGCTTAAAAGTTAAATACTGTTTGGAAAGCCCATCAGTGAATGAGAATACAACAAACAGTTATAAAAGGTTACTAATTCCTTTATTTACTGACTTTAACCTAAAAAATTAAACAACCCATACACACTGCATCATAGTGGAAATATTATAAATTAGAGCTTCCTGGTATGTAAATCAAAACTTAAAAGGGAGGGGGGGGATATTTAAAGTGTATAGCTTAGTATTTCTGAAGCAAATCACTGCTCTAGCAGCAATTAGGCATACTTCAAAAACACAGCAGATGCGAATATTGGATAACTGTATTGACCACAAGGCATTGAGGTCAACAAAAAGTGAACCTTTCTATCCATTCACAATGCTCCTTCCAAACACTAGGAGTCCAAACTCTCTCTGCCACCTATATTTGTATCAAAGCCAATTCTTTTTTTAAGATTCAGTTATTTTTTTTTTTAATTGGAAAGCCAGATATTCAGAGAGGAGGAGAGACAGACAGGAAGATCCTCATCTGCTGATTCATTCCCCAAGAAGCTTCAACAGCCGGAGCTCAGCCAAGCCGGAGCCAGGAGCCAGGAGCCAGGAGCTTCTTCCAGTCCTCGACTGCTTTCCCAGGCCACAAGCAGGGAGCTGGATGGGAAGCAGGGCTGCTGGGATTAGAACCGGTGTCCATATGGGATCCTGAAGCATACAAGGTGAGGACTTTAGCTGCTAGACTATCACACACCCTCCTTGGATCAAATGTTAACCACCTCCATGAAGATTCCTATTTCTCTCAAGTTAACTGGTACTTTATCCAGGACTTAATCACTTGTATATATTCACATATACTTGCATTTTTTATCCTCTATGAGTGTGTACCTTCTTTATCCCTTGCCATATTATCACATTAAACAGGTAATCAAAAAGTATGGAGAAAGCATCGGGGCAAACAAGTCAAGCCCCCGCCTGTGATGCTGTACACAGTATCCATGTACCATTTGGGTATGCTGATGTACCGGATACCCCACTTTTTATACACCTAGCTCTCTGCGGCAGAATATGCCCCAAGTGTTTGTACCTCTGCTAAACACAAGAGAGACCCAGCCATTTGGGAATGAACCAGCACATGGAAGGTCTCTCTCCCTCTCTCCGTAACTCTTTCAAAAAAATCACTTTAAAAAAAAAAAAAAAAGGAAGGAAGGAAGGTAGGTTGGTTTGTAAAATCAATGTCATGAGAGCTCCACACAATTTTAATTCAAGTTTAGCCATCAACTAGGGCACTAAACTAAGTCAAGCAGACTGTTCACCACTCTATTATCCCTCCTTCTACAAAATAATAAATGATTAAATAAATTATCTTTAAGATTGTACTGTGGGGCAAGCATGGTATCATAATAAGCTAATCCTCCATCTCCCAGCACCAGCATCCCACATGGACCTGGTTCGGGTCCTGGTTGCTCTACTCCCAATCCAGCTAACTGCTTGCGGGCTGGTAAATTAGCAGAGGATGGCCCAAGTCCTTTGGGCCCTGCACCCATGTGCAAAACCTGGAAGAAGCATCTGACTCCCAGATTCAAGCTGGCCCAGCTCTAGCCATTGGGGAGTGAACCCAATTTCTGTTTTTCTCCCTGTGCAACTCTAACTTTTCAAGTAAAATAATTGTTGGGGCAAAAAGATCCTATTGTATCCTAACATTGCCCCTAGGTCATCACCAGAGACCACTGAATACCTCTAGCACCTTCAGCACGGAGCAGCCTTGAAATAACCATCGATTAACTGACTGGCTCAATCCTCCAGCTCCACACGGATAAAATTAATTCATTTAAAACCCCAAAGTACTTTGTTAGAAAGACTCCATTTAAATATCTTTAGCCTCCTCTCCACTTTATTAATTATTGCATAATATCCATCCTCAGTTCAACATGAAAAAGTTTTTGGGTCACTTTTAGGAGCCAATCTAAGTTTTCTCCTTTCACGACATTCCTCTTTTTCAGGATGCTTTCGTGGTCTCCAGCAGCATTCAGCTCAAAGATACCTTGGTTAGAAATTCGGCATAAGCAATTACTGCCCAGAGCTGTTTGACATTGTTAGGAATTTTAATCAGCCACTTTAAAGCACAGTTGGTGCATCTTCACATAAAATGCATAGGAATCTTTCTTGTGTTTTCTGTCCCTCTGGCAATCAACAGTCTAGTGGTGGTATGAAATTCCCTCTCTAGGCCTTCCACAGCAGACCTCAGCATACACTACACTTCAGCTCTAAGTCTCTGCCACTGAGACCCAGGTTCAAGTTGCCTCCGGTGCAACGAAAAGTGTCAGCGCACTCAAAGAGAACTACGTAATTTCAATACAAACACTATGTCCTCTCAGACAATCCAGAAAGATGCTAACCAATGCACCTGTCACAACAGGAGCACCCAAAATTTTTTACTAATCTTTATTAGGTAAATTTGAAAAGTGCCCTACATCTCAAGAAATCTGGATAATAAAATTAAAGAAACTGAAAGTACTGATTGTACCCTTAAAATAATCATCTGGCAGACATGTAAAGGTTAAGAACTCTAAAAAAATACAAGCAATCTGAATCTATCAAAAGTCACTAAAATTTAAATAGAAATAAACTTTAAAAATAAAGAACAGAGGCTTTTAAAGTTGCATTTGCACGGTGAAGGATGATATAAACAGTGCTGTCACAAAGCCACACACTAGGACCTCACTCCTGACTCTCTGCTTTTTAAAAGTTCTTCTGCTCCGATATATATGTGCTTATTTGAGTTACAATACCTACAATCCTTCAAAACCATCTCAGCTATGATGGACTATGTCAATCAGCGGATTTTTCAAAGACCTCATAGTGCTTGGAGTGGCAAGATTGACAGCGATTCATAACTGTGGCAATATCAAAACCACTTGAGCAAGAACCTCAGAGCATGCCCTACATCCGGGACCTGGGGAGGGTGGGAAATTGGGTGGGCCTTCTCCCTTAATACCCCACTTTAAACAGGAAGGTAACAATATGGAAAACATACTAGTATTATCCACTTTCCTGTAGCCCTTGAACCTTCTTACTCTAACTAACTATGTAAAGAATGTCAAAATAAATTTTATTAATAAAAAAAAAACTATAATCTGTAATAGGACTTGAAAAAGATGGTACATAACATTTGTAACAGATTAGAAAGGTAGATACAGTAAGAAATACACCCTGAAAACCAGAGATACAGACAACACCTATTATGAGCTTAGAGCTGACCTCCAATATACAAAGTGCAGGAACTTGCTGTATCAGAAAAATGTACATCTAGGAATTTTTAAAATTAAGCTATAGGCCTTCTGTATAACAGACAAATTTCCCCAATACCAACATGGGTCAGGAATTAAACAAAACAGAGACTCAAATAGAACAGCAGCTTGCTTGAGGCCAAAGAACTGTTTAAAAAAAAGAAAAAGGCTATACAGTAAGTAGAACTCCTAACTCATTTTCTTCCCAGATGTATCTGGACTTGGGGAGGGGGCAATTCAAAAATATGAATACAACTTACAGAAAATAGCTAAAACTTGTATCACAAATTAAAAATAGAGAACACAGCAGCTACACGTGTGAATTTACTGCTTCTCAAAACTACTCCAAACTCAGAATTAAAATCAAAATTATCAATGTTATTTATTTGTAAGTAGGAAGAAGACAGAAAACAGCACAGGAATAAGATGCAATGATAGAAAAAGGGCTACGTATATCTAAAATAAAGAGATGTTATTAGTTTTACTGCAATCTCTTCAGGTTGTAATTTGATTGCATTGAAATAAAGCTTGACAACTGAAAGAAGTGTTCTCTGAAGCATTTCCTCAATACTGCCTTTTTCTATTATGCATAATGAAGACAAGGATTCCCTCAAAACAACACAGAAGGATACAATGTGAAGTGCCTTACAGAAATAGCTGCAAGACGTATTTTCTACTTACAGAATCCATATTCTAAATATTAACTACTAAAGTTTTCATTTCAAAAAGCTTAGCATTCACAAACAGAAAGGTGGCAACTGAAAAATGAGATATAAACAAGAACAAAATGAAGCAATAAGATAAAGGCTAAACATTAAATATTTTTAAAAAATGAAGAAGCATTCACATCATAATACTTGGACATAAGTAAAACCAAAAGGATTGTGCAGTTTATCTCCCAAAACTAAATTAGATGTACTTACCCAGTATGCCCAGATTATAACAATCCAGATTCTTATTACACCAAATTTATTTAAAATAAACGTTAAAAACCTCTTCTTTCTCTCCTCCTGATCTTCAAAGCCCAATCCAAGACCAGCCTTCCTCCTGCTTTCATGAGCTGGACATGTGTCAGCTCTCTCACATCTGCGATTTCTCACTGACTTGAGCTGCCTCTCCCATTCCAGGGAAACACAGATGGATCCCAGATGGGAAGGTCCTGCCAAACAGAGCAGCTCTTCACCTTGCCAGAATCCCCAGACACAGTCAGTCTCTCCCGTGTCTCTTGCACGCTCTTCCTGCTGCTTCCTCTCTTTCTACTACCCCTCTAACCCTCCCTGTTACCAGGGCGCTTTGCCAGCTGATGTCACTAAGTACACACCTCCCAGTGGCTCCTGGCCAATCTGACATTAACTTGTTAAATATGTGTAATTTGTTTATGGCTGACAATAAACAGCAAGGATATTGTGCAAAACCTATCTGTGTAAGTCCCTAGTGGAGTAACATGCAAAGACAACAGAGACTCCCGTTTTTAGGAACATTCAAATGTTCATCAATTACCATTTAGAACCCTACATATTATCTGCTTTTTGCTATCGTTCAACAGCTTTTGCTCTTTGACCTAATTTTAAATCTCACATGGCAAATTCCTTCTTAAGCCATATTATTAAAAATCTGGTCTGAACACATAATTAGACAAATTCATTTGGGGAAGTATAAACAGAAATGTATCTAAAACACACACACACAGCCTTTCAGATCCAAACCTTGTAACACTGCTAAACTGGCACATGACTAAAATACCACAATGCAGGCAATGTGGTTTGGTGCTGTAAAGATTATAAATGAAAGATGATGCCACAGTGCAAAACATGCCTTAAAATAAACATACAAATGAGAAATAATGTTTAACTTTTAAAGAGTAAGTTTCAATAAAGAACATCAAAAATAAAAATCATGTTTTGGAGATAATTATTGAGAGAATCCAGGGAAGAGAGAAGTGTGCAAGTTAAATTCTTTATAACTCCAAGAACTGCCATATAATACCCTGACCAATTTCTGAGGAATAAAATGAATATTAGGACATTGGTGCTATGGCACACTAAGATAAGCTTCGGTCTGCAGTGTCAGCATCCCATATGGAGTGCTGATTTGAGTCTGAGCTGTCTCACTTCCAATCCAGCTCCCTGCTGGGCCTCTGCACCCACACAGGAGACCTGCAGGAAGCTTCAGGCTCTAGACTTCCCATGGGCCCAGCTCCTACTATTGTGTGTGAACCAGTAGACGAAGGATCTGTCTCTCTGCAAATCTGCCTTTCAAACAAAAAATAAGTAAATTTAAGGGATACTAAATATAGTTACCCTTGGGGTAAACTGGGTGAAGAAGCCATTAGCTGTTTCTGTACACTTTTGTCAACCTCTTGTGAAGGCACATTTTAAAAATCATTTAGGGGAGGCAGGGGCATTTGATACAACAGTGAAGATACTACTTGGGACATACCCATTTTTAAAAATATGTCACTTTAAGTGAATACATTTTATTCTATGATCTATGAAGAAATTCCCATGTATACAAACCAAGCAAGTTATTGAACACTGAAAGGAAAATTATTTCCGTCTAGGGTAACTAGAATCCGTTTCACATTTTTAGCTCAGCTCAGTAGCAATGGTAGGAATAAGAACAACTGGTTGAGAACAACATGATGATACACCGTCAAAACTGTGATTTCCTGGAACTAGGACAAAGATCATATATTACAGGGTCTATAAGGTAGGTGTTATTAACATGATGCTACAACTTTTTTTTTAAAAGATTTATTTTTATTTTTATTGGAAAGGCGGATATACAGAGAGAAGAGACAGAGAGGAAGATCTTCCGTCCGATGATTCACTCCCCAAGTGAGCGCAACGGCCGATGCTATGCCGATCCGAAGCCAGGAGCCTCTTCCGGGTCTCCCACGCGGGTGCAGGGTCCCAAAGCTTTGGGCCGTCCTCGACTGCTCTCCTGGGCCACACGCAGGGAGCTGGATGGGAAGTGGGGCCGCTGGGATTAGAACCAGCGCCCATATGGAATCCCAGGCGTGCAAGGCGGGACCTTAACCACTTGCGCCACCGCGCTGGGCCCGATGCTACAACTTTGGACAGAAAGTCACAAAGTTAAGTGGCAGCACCTGGAGCCACAACAAGAGCATTATACTGTATATTCATGTAGGAAAATGGATACTACTGTCAGTTGCCCGGGGTCAATCACTCTGCAGGAAGCTATCTACCAAAATCTTAATATCGGTCAGTCATCAGACAGCAGACACAAGCCACTTGGAAAGCTAGGATTGAGTTCTGGGCTCCTGGCTTCAAGTGAGCCAGATCTGTCTGTTACATCTGGGGAGTGAACCAATGGATAGCATTCAGTTTCTGTTTCTCTTTGACTTTCCGAAAAAGAAAGGGGGAGATCAGACGAGAACCTAAACATTAAAGGAGGGGGAAGAAAAGACACAAATGCAATGTGCGCTTCAAATGGACTGTTTCAGCACATCAACCATTTATAACTATAAGTAACCTTTCACACCTTGGAGAGGCAGGTGTTTCTCCTATCAGTTGTGTTCTTTTGTTTTTTGCTTTTTCTTTTTCTCATTTTTGGAAGGCAGAGAGAAAATGAAGAAAGATATGTACTGGAGAATGTGGATCATTCTCCAAAGACCCACAACAGCCTGGGCTGGGCCAGGCCAAACCTGAGAGCCACAACCCAAGAAGAAGAAAGGAAAAACCTTAAACAATTCATTCAGGCATGTAGCAGTCCTGATGAGATGGCATAGTGGCTAAAGTCCTCACCTTGGATATGATAACATCCCACACAGGCACTGGTTCATATCCTGGCTGTTCTACTTCCCATCCAGCTCCCTGCTTATGGCCTGGGAAAGCAGTCGAGGGAGGCCCAATCCTTTGGGTCCCTGCACCCACACAGCAGACCCAGAAGAGGCTTCAGGTTCCTGGCTGCAGATCGGCTCAACTCTGGCTGTTGTGGCCACCTGGAGAGTGAATCAACGGACAGATCTTTCTCTCTGACTCTCCACCTCTCTGTATATCTGACCTTGTAATAAAAATAAATAAGTCTTAAAAAAAAAGAAAGCAAGCAGCTGGGTCTCCAGTTGATGCCCGTATGGCTTCCTGCGCCATAGGCTTTACATGCTGCTACAGCAAGCACCAGGCCCCTGTGTTCCCCTTTCTGTTGCTTTCCTGTTGAACTCTGAGCTCAACCTATTACTTTCCTAGCTCCAGCCACTGCACTGTTCTCATCCTTGTGTGAATCCTGAAGCCCTGCTCTTACCTCAGGACTTTTGCCCAAGGCTGGTTCTCCTATCCTCTGCTCATTTCTTCACATCCTAGTGAAGTCTACCACCCTGAGGGCCTGGCACGGTAGCCTAGTGGCTAAAGTCCTCACCTTGCACTCACCGGGATCCCATTTGGATGCTGGTTCTAATCCTGGCATTCTTGCTTCCCATCCAGCTCCCTGCTTGTGGCCTGTGAAAGCAGTCAAGGATGACCCAAAGCCTAGAGGTCCTGCACCCGAATGGGAGACGAGGAAGAGGGTCCTGGCTCCTGGCTTCAGATTGGCTCAGCTACAGCTGTTGCGGCCACTTGGGGGAGTACAGAAGATCTCCTCTGTCTCTTCTCTTCTGTATATCTGACTTCCTGATAAAAATAAATCAATAAAAAAAATTAAAAACTAGAGGCCTGGCTGCGTGGCCTAGTGGCTAAAGTCCTCGCCTTGATCCCATATGGTCGCCGGTTCTAATCCCGGCAGCTCCAGTTCCCATCCAGCTTCCTGCTTGTGGCCTGGGAAGGCAGTCCAGGACGGCCCAAAGCCTTGGGACCCTGAACCTGCATGGGAGACCTGGAGGAGGTTTCTGGCTCCTGGGTTTGGATCAGCTCAGCTCCAGCCATTGCGGCTGCTTTGGAAGTGAATCAACGGACAGAAGATCTTCTTTGTCTCCTATCTTTATCTGACTTTCCAATAAAAATAAATAAATTAAAAAAAAAAAGAAACTTTCTCTTTTCCCATAAGATTTACAGTGAGTTTATAATAGGAAAAATATGGTTTCATTTTCATTTTATTTGAAGTGTCCAGAAACAGAGACTGATGTAAACACAGAGAGATTTCCATTCACTGACTTACTTCCCAAAGAAAATCCGTAATAAATAGGATTGCGCTAAGTCAGAATTCAGTTCAGGTCTCCCAAGTAGGTGGCAGGCGCGGAAGTCCTTGAGCTTCACCTGCTGCCCCCAGCGTGTGCATCAGCAGGACGCTGGATGACAAGCTAAGGAGCTGGGCTCGATCCAGGAGCTCCCATATGGGGTGTCTTAGTCCCTGTGCCAAGTGCTGGTCTCTGTGATTTTGTTGTTGTCGTTCTTTAACAATTTTTAAAAAGAGTGAGTGATGAAGGCTGTAAAACCCAGTCCATTGCAGGCATTTTTCTCTTTTCCTTCTCTTTTCTCCCTTTCCTTTCCCTCTGCTCTCCTCCCCTCCCCACTTCTCTCCTCTCCTCTTCAAGATCTAGTTCGTTTATTTGAAAGCCAAAGTTACAGAGAGATCTTCCATCTGCTGATCTATTCCTCCCATGGCTGCAGCGAGCACAGCTGGGCCAAGCCAAAGTGAGGAGCTTCTTCCACGTCTCCCATATAAGAGCAGGGGCTCAAGGAGTTGGTGCATCTTTGCTACTTTTCCAGGCGTTTTAACAGTGACTGGAGCCAGTGCCTATATGGGATAGCAGTGCTGTAGGCAGCAACTTAATGTTGCCCTGGCCATTCTTCAAAAACGAAATGAAATTTTCAATTGGTATGAACTTTGCGTATACATATTTCACCTGTAACATTAATTTAGCTCATGATTAGCTTTTTTTTTAAAGATTTATTTTATTTTTATTGGAAAGGCAGATATGCAGCGAGGAGGAGAGACAGAGAGGAAAATCTTCCGTCCGATGATTCACTCCCCAAGTAAGCGCAATGGCCGATGCTATGCCGATCCGAAGCTGGGAACCAGGAACCTCTTCCGGGTCTCCCACGTGGGTGCAGGGTCCCAAAGCTTTGGGCCGTCCTCAACTGCTTTCCCAGGCCATAAGTAGGGAGCTGGATGAGAAGTGGGGCCGCCGGGATTAGAACCGGCACCCATATGGGATCCCAGGCATGCAAGGTGAGGACCTTAACCACTGCGCCATTGCGCCGGGCCCGATGATTAGCTTTTAAGGTGCCATAGTGGGTAAAGCTACTGCTGGTCATGCTGCTGTCTTCTGGTGGCACCTATTTGAGTCCCTTCTGCTCCAATTCTGATCCAGCTCTGTGCTGAGAAATGCCCGAGAAAGCAGTGGAAGGTGACTAAATTGGGCCCTGTCATCCATGTGGGAGACCGAAGATCTTAACTTTGGGCAGCCCTGCTGTAACCATTTAGAGTGAACCAAATGGAAGATATTTCTCTCTCTGTACCTTTGAAATAAACCTTTGAAGAGGTTCCTGGCTCCTGGCTTCGGACCGGCATAGCATTGGCCGTTGCACTCATTTGGGGAGTGAATCATCGGACGGAAGATCTTCCTGTCTCTCCTTCTCTCTGTATATCTGACTTTCCAATAAATAAATACATCTTTAAAAAAAAAAAAAAAAAAGAACCAGAGCTCATATGCTCATATGGGATCCCAGAGCGTTCAAGGTGAGGACTTTAGCTGCTAGGCCACGTTGCCAGGCCCCTGATCCAAAAAATTTACCTGAAAGAGCAAAGAATCTAGACTATCCATAACAACTTTGAAACAGAATGCAGTAGAGAAACTGTATAATGAAGATACATTGCAGTATGCATCTCTACTTCTGAATCACTGATGGATTCCTGAGCACTGACAGCAAGTCTCTGGGCAAAAGGAGACTTCCAAGGTCAGTAAATGGACCTTGGAAGAATTCCTCAACCTCGGAGCAGCAAAATCAACAGCATCTCAACTATCAAACCCATTTAAGCAGTACCATCAAAA